ATAATTTACATAATTTGATAAATATAATTCTAGCAAATCATGTTTGAAATAAAAATAAGCATAAGAAACAAAACAAAATGCGTATATATAGAAGATATTGTTTGTAAATATATGTTTAACAACAGTAATACTCTAAAATATATAGGACACGTAAATGTACTAACCAAAGAAAGTTTCCCTAAGAAAAAATGAAACAAGATGGACTACAACTCGTGAAGTATATTTCTGATATGTATACACACGTCACTGCAGTTATAAGAGACGACCCCAAGCCAATAAGAGTGCCAAATTGCGCAAATACTGCCATTTTCATCACGAAAAGGAAAATGAAAAGACAAGACTTTTGTGTAGACCCAAAAGTTTGTGTGTGGAAATGAAATTGCTGGAGGGTGATTAGATGACCATTTGGATTTGTTGCCCTCTTTTCCCATTTCTCTCTACTACCCAAAAACGCACCCACACTTTTGACCCACATCCACTTTCTTTATTTTTATTCCTTAATGTTCTAATCAGATCATGCGTTTCTTTTTAAACCCACTCCTTAAACATATAGTATTATCTAAGTTTAATATCTATGTTTACTCATATATAGACACACAAGTTTCTATTCAGATGTATAGTCCCAATATTTTGATGTTAGGATAACTAGATCTCAGGCCCTGAAATTCTCGAATTTAAAATTCCTCTATGTGTCTAATATATAACTATATCTGTACATAAGCATATAATAGTTATACATCCCATACATTTTCATTTGGATAACGCCTAACCTTCAGACTAATAAGTCCTATAATATATGTTTAGACCCCAAAAAGTCCTACCACACTAAGTGAACATTTACTCTTGATTCCACTGATGAATACAATTTTTTTTTTCTGAAAGGAATATCTTAAGCATATGAAGAAATCTGATTCGTAGGGATGGTATTCAAATGAATCATAAAATACACCTATATTCAAGTGACCACAAGATAAAATTAATGGGATGTCTTTGATTCCAGTTGTTTAACAATTCTAAAGTTCACCGATCATTAGACCACCACAACAAAGTTTAATACAAATAAATTGCTATTGATAAATTTGTAATATGATGGTTGTGATACTGAATCATCAATATAGAAATTTTTTGATATGAATTTATCAAAATAAATAAAAAGGTAAAAAATGATGTGGGATAGACGCCCGACAATATGCATGGTTCAGCTCGAATTTGGTATGTGAATCATATTGAAAGCTGAAAGTTATTTAATTAGATTTACGAATATTATTTTTTACGCAAGAAAGTCTAATAATCTGCCAGACTTTGTCAGAGAGAATTTGTGAAAGCATATAGTTCCCCAATCGCAGAGACGTATTATATTCGATTCGGTAACTAAATGATGAGGAATCGACACGTTTCTCAGATGCATTTTCGTGGAATCCACACATCCACATTCGCATTACACAAAAGTGAACCTTTTCATGTGTTTTAGTTTTGCAACTAACCTTTTCTTATCTATTTACTATTTACATTATATTTAAATTTCTAAGATTTTTAAACCCGAACCGGACTGGTCGGTCAAATCGATTTGATCGTGACTCATTTAGTAAAGTGAGTTCTGTTCGGTCCAAAACTCGGATCTACTTAAAACCGAAAAAATCAGTGACCCGATTGAGCATTAAAACCTGATTCACAAAACAAACACAATTTTGATAAATTCTTAAATTTTCTAGATATTAATATGTCTAAGGGATCGTTATTCATATATATTAAGGTGATAATTCAAATCAGAATTGCATCTTTTACATAATAGGGTTTATTAATTTCATCAGTCAAAAAAAAATTTGAAACATGGGACTTGCTTTATTAGATAATATATCAAAATGCATATTCAGATATCCTACTATGATGAGTTCATTCACTTGGTCGCTTAATTATTTTGGTAAAGTTGATATGTATCCAGCAGCATAGGTTACGATACAACACTAGTCACATAGTCAGAACTCAAAACCCAATATTTCCAACTAATAGACAAGTAAGCGTGAAGCACGTTTTTGGATGTGTATTGAATTCTTAGTTAAAAAAGGCTGGAAAAAAACATCCATTAAAAACGATGTAGATCGAGATGTCTTAGGGATCGAATCATTAAACTTTTTCTGATTAGTGAAATGAATCCATAATAATAATAATTTTTATCAGTTCTTACGTCTCAACACAGATTAATAATGGACCTATAGTATAATATACTTGAATCTATCTAATTAACCAAATTAATTTTGAGATACGAATTCCACACAACCTTCCACAACTAAGTAAAGTAGCCACTATTGTCCCTTAAAGAGACATTTATGCATATTTTAAATTGGGTAATGGATGTTCAACTACATTATAAAATATAATTGAAGGGTTAGACATAAACTGATTCTAGATGCATATCTAGGGATATAATAATACATAGGAAAGAATCCAATGAGTTATTCAGATGTGGTTTGCTTTTCTGTACGCATTAACTTAGTATTACGTGGTTCACATTTTGGATAAGCAATTCTATCAACAGATCCATATGATATACTGTATATATATATATATATATATATATGTATGTATGCATCCACATATATAGGCATATACACAAATTATCTTCTATCGTAAGGGATTTCAACACCAAGAAAAGGAATTCACCAAATATAGTCAATTTTTAATTGATTGTTGTCTTTCAAAACGTAGTCCAAATTGATTATGGGGTATGTTAATTTACCGGCGAAACTTTCAAATACGTAAATTCAGCAACACTGGTAATGACATATATATCAGATGGGACAAATCACGTAATCATGTGAGTTGATTGTATTATTACTTTCACATTGTAATTGAAATAATTGCTTCAAACTTTAGACGATGATACACACGTTAAAGGCCAAAATAAAATACACGTAATATATTTTAGAATATTTTACACGTATTGTTCTGATTACTAATAGCCGACTTCAAAAGGAGAAAAGGAAGATATGAATTGGTGACAATCACTAGAGGTGGTGGAGTGGGATGAATAGTGGTTTTATAACCACATGAGGTGGTGGATTTATATATACTTTTAATAAATATTTTATATGATTTGAAATTTTGATATTCTACTCTCACGTAGTTACATTTATGAAAAGTTCAGCAAATAAAACATGTGTAACATCTGCATTTATGTTAGAACTAATTATTCTCTAAACAGAACACTTTATTCTATTGTTTCTGTATAACAGAGATTACTAATATATATACTGTTGTGTAATTACTTTATGTATATGATCATACTAAATTTTTATTTTTCTTTTTAAACTCCTTTCTTTTTTGGGGTCAAAAATGACTTTATAAAGTGAACAAACATAATGTATATGTATTGTCCGAAACAAAACAAGTACTCAAGATATTTCGTAAAAAAAAAAGTATTCAAGATAAACCACTTCTAAGATACATATATGCTCTAATTCACGTTAACCATGTATAAGTTTTCAGTATTTGTTTGGTTCTGCAGATCAAAAATATATGCCTTTATAGTCTGAAATCGATAACAGACAAGACATCCAACAAATATTTTGTCCACCATATTTCCTCAACAGAAGAACGCATTTTCAGATAAAATGGTATACTGGAGATATGGGTCCCAAACGTACGTAAGATTAAACCCAATTGATTGTTGCTACCACGTGGAATTCACTTTGTCAACTTGTGTTTCTTCATTGATTTAACCTCTTAAGATCGATCATTTGTGACCACGAGTCTAGGAATAAGGATAGAGCTAGGTGTCCCTATATATGCGTCACATCCCATGTACGTATATTATTATCTTCTTGTAGATTTTTGGTTGGTCGACTTTCAAATTCCTACTGTACGTTAACCAACAAATTATATTACAAAGTTCAATGAAAGAAATATTACAAAGTTCAATGAAAGAAAACACAAAGTGAAGCAAGAAAAATGTAAAAAGAAAGAAAGAAAGTAAATAGCTTTGGAAAGAAATGAGTAAAAAACAATCATCTACTTTGTTATGAGTCAAAACAATATGTATAGTAGATTGATATATCTCTTGACTCCTCCCGACGTGACAAAATGATTTGATTTTGATTTTCTCAAATTAGTAGTAAATTTTTTTGAGAATTTTTTTTTTTGGAGAAAATTTATTGGTAAATATTCTATTAATAAAACCATTATATATAAGTATAACAAACTTAAGCCTTTATCTTTTCTTTTTGCAAAAAAGATTTGCCTTGTAATATTTTTTTATCAAATTAAAACCCAAATATAACCCTAGATTATTTTGGCAGTCAACTTCCGGTACAATTATTCTAAAACTTCACCATAACTTTAACAACCGCGAACCTTAACGATTGTTCCCAGTTGGTTACATCCGTGTATGAATCGTGAGTTAGGCCAATAGCATGAATAACTAGATTTACTACATATAGTTACATTTTTAATGTCCTATGTATGAACTAGACATCGACATATTTATACAATTTTGTTTTTTTTTTAAATAACGTGTTTCAAATGGTGACTGATTGTCATTAATATATTTGTATAGTACAATAGTATCATCTTGAATATTATCGTTTATGCCGCTCTAACTGCAATAAACAAAAATGATAACACGATAAAATATCTAGAAGCATAATGTAATTGTATCTACCATATTAAACTAAACAACTAATTTCTTCCACATCAATCACACTAGCTAGTAATCCCAACTTTTAATAGCCACAAGTTTTATTTACCTAAGATGATTGGTTTCACGAAGTCATATAAACCGAATATTTATATGTAGAATGTTCTATCCACTTACTTTAGTGATAATGAACTCATGACACCCAATCGTTAGACGGAATCAAACCGGAATAATTAACACCAACGTCACTAAAAAAAAATTTAATAACATATATAGAAAGAAAAACAAAAGAAGAGAAAGAGAACACTGATTACGCATCTGAATATTATGATATAAATACACAGAACCACTCACCACTTGCTTCTCAGGAAAACACATTCTCCAAGTGTTTCTCTCCTCTCTATTCATAACCTATTTCTCTTATATACAAACGCTAATTTTTGACATTTTCGTTTAACCTCAAGGATCATAAAATAACCCCAAAGTTTTGTTAATTTTCTTGTCTTTGAAACCTTTTAAAATTAAGCTAATCGAGATGGGACTAAGGATGTCAGAATCAGCTAAACCCTACTTTGCAATGGTTTGTCTTCAGTTTGGATACGCCGGTATGAACCTGCTCACTAAAACCGTCCTAGACCGTGGCATGAGCCATTACGTCCTTGTTGCATACCGCAACGCTTTTGCCACAGCCGCGATCGCACCTTTCGCATTTCTCTCTGAAAGGTAAAACAAAAAAGAAGTCCATATTGTTTCTAAGATATCATTTCTTTTTGTACGTTTTGTAATATTTATGCGTTTGGTGATTTTGTAGGAAAGTGAGGTCAAAAATGACGTTTTCAATTTTCATGCACATATTTGTTCTTGCTCTTCTCGGGTTAGTCTTCTTAAACCATCTCCAAAAACGTTTTTGTAATATTGAATCTATGAAAACTGTTACATAGTAAGACTAACAAATATGTTTTTATGCAAACAGGCCTGTGATTGATCAGAATCTATATTACATCGGTCTGAAACTCACATCTCCGACGTTTTCCTCGGCCGTCAGCAACATCGTGCCCGCAATAACCTTTATCCTCGCCACTCTATTCAGGTACATACATAAATAAATACATAAAACTATTACTTTAATTCTATTTCCGTAGATGTATACTACAAAAATATGTAACGAGATAATAAATTATGAATATTAATGTGTTTTATGTAAATATATGAATATAAAAAAAATATAGGATGGAGAAAGTGGAGATTAGAAAAGTAAGATGCCAAGTAAAAGTAGTGGGCACTTTAGTGACAGTGGTTGGATCCATATTGATGATATTATACAAAGGTCCTTTCATCAATTTCTTCCGATCTAACGTCACCACCACCACCGCCCTTTCTCCCCTGGCCGGTGATTATCTTAAAGCCACCGTCTTCCTCCTCCTCGCTTCCCTCTCATGGGCTTCCTTCTTCGTTCTTCAGGTATTTTGGTTTTAGACTCTTAGATTGTGTGTGCTATACATAATCTTAGTTTGTTTCTTTTGTACTTAATTATATGTTACAAAAAAATATTATTGGATTACAATATATATTCTCATGACTTTTGATTTATACAATTTGACTAATGAGAGAATTATATGTTTTTTTTTTTTTTTTTTTATTAGGCATGGACTTTGAAGAAATACGCAGCCCATCTCTCGTTATCAAGCATGGTGTGTTTCATGGGAACGTTACAATCCTTAGCCTTGGCCTTTGTAATGGAACACAATCCTTCTGCTTTGAACATCGGTTTTGACATGAACCTTCTAGCTTCTGCCTACGCGGTCCGTTTTTTTTCTTTAAATTTTAAACCACTTTTGTACATAACACATCAGTTCACAACTAATGTGATTGGTATGATTACAGGGAATAATGTCGTCGAGCATAGCTTACTATGTTCAAGGACTTATGATGCAGCGAAAGGGGCCTGTCTTCGTCACTGCTTTTAACCCTCTTGTCGTTGTTATTGTCTCCATAATAAGCTTTTTTGTTCTCGGCCAAGGAATATACACTGGAGGGTACATTAGCATAACAACTTTTTCATTATGATATATATATGGTTTAGTTTTGGTTCTTTCGTGTTAATTTATATTTGAATTTTTCAGGGTTATTGGACTGGTTGTGTTAACGGTGGGAGTCTACGCGGTGTTATGGGGAAAGCACGTAGACGATGATGGTGATGAAATACTACATGAAGATATCGTTTTAGAAGCTGTTAAGTGTTGTAGTGGCAATAATGGTCATTCGATCATGCCAACAATCGATGAAGCTGATGAGGATGTTGAAACTGGTAAACTTCAGGAAGCAGAGAAGGAATCATCGGTGGTTGTTGTGGTTTTTTGCAGTGAAAATGTGAATAAAACATTTCACGATGCTAATAAGTAGATGGTTTTTTTTTTTTTTTTTTTTTTTGAGGCAAAATTGGGAAGAAGAGTAACTTGTTTTTTTGTACTTGTAAGTTTAAAATTCCTTCCCCTGCTTCAAAAGTTTTATTTATAGTTTTTGACTTTTAGAGTAACTATGGTTTCTATGTACTATCCGTTTTGATCGTTAACAAGCTATAAGCCTATGTAAATCATTGCATTTGATGTTCATGAGAACCTATTTTAGCATTTTCATTAAATATAAGAACCAATTAAATTTAATCAACCAATTTAAACATGTAAACCTATTTTGCGAGTTATGGCCTTTTAACACAAGACTTTATTTTGGATAGGTAACAACAAATACATAGTTTTTTTTCATGCCTTACAGATAAATACGTTGGGAGCTTAAATACTATTTAGAGTGATAATAACGAATAAGTAACATGTTGTGTAACAAAGATTTGGTAGCAAGATCTCAGGACTTGTTTTTTTTCTTCATGGTTTTGGCTTTGTTGAACCATTGGCTATAACTCCTTTCTTGTTGTTATCATCTTCACCAGAAGCTGGAACAGATCTTCCGCTACCAGAAACGAGGTTCTTGATGGTTGATTTCAAGTCTATGTCCTTCATAAGTGAGTCCAACGTCACATGTACACCTGTGTGCACAAACAAAACAGTTGGCATCTCAGTTAAGTTAAAAGCTATAATCATTCTGATGGGTTTTTTTTTTGTGATAGTACTTACGGTATCTCCAGTAATGTTTAGGGTTTGTGGGGTCATTGATAGTCTCTTCTTTAGCAGGACGAGCAGTGTACTCTTCTTTCAAAGCCAACATATCCTAATTGTTCCATGAGGCAAAAACAAGGATGGTAAGAGGTTCTAATATCTCAGAATGCATAGTGGTGATGAATGAATACCTGAAGTGGGAAAATAGCCCACATTGATGGAGCTTCAACATGTTGCCTCAGAATGAAATGTGTTATCTCTGGAACACACTGACTTGGAGGGATTTCATCTACGCCAATCACTTCCTTGAAGTATCTTTGTCTTCTCTCTTCATCCTCTTCCCACCAAGCTCGCAGTGTAGAGCAGTCGTGGCATGAAGGAGCACAGACCTAATACATTGCAGACAGTGATTCACTTAACCGTTACAAGTTCCTCAGGAAATGAATGTAAGCATGCTATAAGAGTGAAAGAGAGAACTATGAGGATAAAAATCTAACCGTCATATAGTCATAGTTAGAAGGTATTCCAAACTCCGAATCAGACTCACTAGGCATGCGCTGGATGCGTAGGCCAACCAAAGCTAGTTCTTTCATAACCTGAATAACTATAGATTTTAGTATTCCTCAACACATAATATGTATGTTTCTACGCAAGTTTAAAACATAAGCTAGATGAATCAAGAGTGAGGATAACAGGGTAACATACAGGATGTACACAAGCTGGAACTAGGCCGAGATCCTCCCCACAGGCCAGCATATTAGATGAATTCAACAGAGCAGGCAAGGTTTTCAAAGCATTTTTCCTCCATAGATCCTCTTGGCGATGGAAATAGTAGTCATAGTATAGTCTCTTCAGAACATTTTTGCTGTATCAAAAGACCTTAATCAGAGTTTCCCATGTAGATGAAAATTAATAAAACTACAGTATGACATAATAAGAGCAGAGGAGGATCTGTGTGTTCTATAGAATCAAAGGGAATGAAAACAGACTTCTTGATTTGGAAATATACTACTGTGATTAGGAAAAGGTTTTAAAAGTACCTGTGATCATCCAAATCCTGAAAACTTGAAGTATCCTCAATGTTAAAGCGAGGATAGAACTTTCTTGCATCCTCTGGATCTTTGATCAGAACAACATTCTAGGGGCACAAATTACACAGATATAAGCAACTTCGAACAAAGAACTCGAGACAGACATAAAGTGGGCAGTGGGCAGTGGGCAGTTATCATTTGGTGGTTAACAAGGAGAAGAGATCTAGAAGCAGTATACCCGTAAAATGTCAAAGACATCACGACGAACTTTGTCTTCATTTTCTAGCAACAGAGACTTTGCAGCTAATGACTTCAGCTTTGATGCAATCTTTTTCTCTGTGTTGCAGTCCTCCTTGAACTATATCATGGTTAAAGGAAACATATCAAGAAAGGTCACTGAGAAAAAAAAAACATAAAATTGTCCACAGGAAAAAAGCAAGAATCGATTTAGAATCTTAGATTTTATGCATCATCATGACGCTCTTCTAAACCTTGGTATACACATATGAAACCCGAAACAATGATGTCTCATAGGTTACCAAAATGCAGAGCTATGGAAAACTATGATAGAATTGATAGTATGGTTGACGATTTCTACATGGTGTATGTACTGACCTCGTAGAAGTCCTTCTGAGTTTCATTAAGAAAATTTGATGCAATGAATGGCCAGAAATCTCCAAATTTCTCCTGAATTCAGAGCAATGACATAAATAAACAAAAAAGTAATAATAAATTTATGAGGTAATGGTTGTGCCTTGCAATACTCACTAATTCAAACTTACTAAGCTGTAATGAAAGCAGATAACTACAAGTGTGATGGAAAACTAACCTCAAGAAACTTCTTCTGGACATAAGGCTTGCTTAATCGGTCAAAATCCCATATTCCCTCCTTTTCCAACTCTTCCTGCGTCAAATGCAGATTGGTCATTTCTTCTTAGCTTTAAATATAGTTCATCTTTACTAAGCTTTTGAAAAGTAACACTCAAAGCCAGGTTTATTTGGACTGTGAGCACGTAGCTTGTGTACCTGACTTAATGGAATAGATGGACGGAACTTCCCCACTAAACCAGTCATAGCATGTGCTGGAAGCTCCCAGATACGGAAGAATCCTAAAATATGGTCAATCCTATAGGCTGTGAAATATTTTCCCATCTGCAAAGCCAAGTACGCAATGTGGTCACACCACATATCTTGCAACGGTCGTTGGTAAGGACAGTAAGCTGACCTGTGTTAAGCGAGCACGCCACCAACCATAGTTGTCTTTTGACATTTCCTCCCAGTTGTAAGTAGGAAATCCCCAGTTCTGACCATTTTTGTCAAAATAATCTGGAGGTGCCCCTGTTGACGTATTCATGCGGAACAGATTTTTGTTAACCCATGTGTCGACACTGTTTCTGTCAACGCCAATAGGTAGATCTCCTTTCAGCACGACTCCTTTCTTCCTTGCATATTCTGATGCTTCTGACAACTTTTAAAAACAGAACAAGCACACAATTTTAAATGAAACAGCTAATAAATAAATAACTTGGCACAAGCATGCAACATAACTGATGAAATATGTATGAATCAGAACATACTAACCTGTACATGTAAGTGGTACTGGATGTAGTAGTGGAAGCATATAGTGTTGTAGTGCAAGCTATCCTTCGATGTCAATTTCTCAAGCTGTGGCATGTGTTATTTGGAGATGTGAGAACTAATTAACCACTAAGCTACAACAATATAAACGCATACAATACCTTATCTTCTGTGTAGTCAGAGAAGGTCCCCCACTGGCTATGATCTGAAGTCTCGAAAAAGTCACGGAGAAAGCAGAAAGCTGCATATGGTTTCAACCATCCCTTTCCAAGAAAGCAAAACTCAGTCAGGCAAATGGAAAGCTGAAGTGATCCTTTGAAGGCAGAAGTTCTTTACAGGTATTTTATCTTAAAGCATACCTCGTTCTCAGAGAAGAACTTCTCGAAAGAGCTTGAATTTAACGTCTGGTCTTTCTCGAGGTGGAAGATTTTCTTGGCGATTGAAAGCTTAGTATCCATAGTAGCCTCATAATCAACAGCCTACGTATAAGATCTTTAAATCATTAGTCCACTCGTACTCTGAATGGGACGTCCTAAGGTATGACACAACATGGTAGACACAAACAATAAACGTTAAAAGATTACATTCTTGTCCAGTTGCTTCTTTGCCTTCTCAATTTCTTCCTGAAAGGAAACGTAAAACGTCAGCTAATTTATTTTTCAGGAGACTAGTTCTTTCAGGAACCTATTAAGTGTACAAAACTACCTTTATGTCTGCTGGCAAATTTTTAGATAGAGCCTGTACTCTAAGATATAATGGATGCAATGCAAACACAGATAGGGAACTGCAAAAGAGAAGCAAAAATCCCACCACATCAGACAGTTCAATGAGACACATTACTAATTAGATAACTGATTTCACCAAAGTGATACTAGCATACCTGTAGGGATACGAGTCCCACCACATCTTATGCACGGATGTGTCATTTACAGGTAAAAGTTGTACCAGATGCAACCCGGAATCTACAGACCAGTCAACAAGCAGCTTCAGATCGAGAAACTCTCCAACACCAACATCATCGTCTGATCTAACAGAGAACATTGGAACTGCAACACCAGCACCCCTCCATGGCATTTCCTACAAAATTAATTAAATTAAGACAACACTGATCCTGTCACACCAAAAGCTAGTTCATAGCTGGTCTCTGTTACTTACTCGAAACAAACCATCTGACATGACAATGTATTCCTGTTTGTTACTGGATGAGTGAAGAGTAAGCTCTCGATTGCCACCAGATTCAAGACCTATGGTACCATCCTTCGGAACTTTACAGTATCTATACGTGAAATGACAGTTAAGAACCCAGCATGAAGGAAGCATATGAGAAGTGAAATACGAAATTATTTGTCACAAATTAGTCTGGAAGCAAAGAAAGGATATTTGATAGGAAAGTCTGCTTTAGGGATCAAGCAATCTGCTTCCCACATGGAGTCACCAACATAGTTGAGTCTAAGTCCACTTTCAACTTTCCATTTCCCCAACTTCCCTGAGGTGCCTAAAACATACACCTGGCATTTCATAATCAAAGATAATAAAATGTCAGCTTCAGACATCACATCAGACTCGATCATGAAAAATAAAGAAGGCAAGAAGCCCAACGATCATATAGAAAAGACTTTACCGATGTTCCCTCACCAACGTCTGGACAACAGATTTTGAACTGGACAACAACTGAATCTGTCCACAAAAGTTAGCCAATAGATTTATTGACAAACTAAAGAATCCCAGGGAAAATAGTGTGACAGGTTCAAAACAAAAATTGATTACCATCTTGATCAGACTTATTCTCAAATACCCCAAGAGGCTTTCCTACTTCCACATCGCCAGTGTTGCGAAAGATGACATCTTTAAAAGCGCTTCTAAATGGGAGAGCTTGATCCCCACTCTGAATTGATAAAAGAACATAACTTTTCAATAAAAAATTATATCGTTGCTAGCCATTGTTTGAGTGACAGAAAAAAACACAAACCTGCCAGAGATCACGAAGCTGGACAGACTCTCCACCAGTCAATGTCTCAGGCACAACAAGTTTCCTCTTCATCCCAAACTCAGACCTCAACACATTCTTCAAATCATCCACAACATAGTAGCTGTAATCACAGCTAAACCCAGGTGGAACAGAAACAGAGCCACTCCAGATGAGCTGGTCCTCTTGCTGAGACGGCTTAAGCAGCAAACCTTTCTTCACATTCCCGGAACCAAGTCCAGGAGCCGAGCCACAGACAAGCAAGCTCTGTCCCCAGTGAGTGAAATACGGTATCCAAAAGCTAAGACTAACCATTGGCTTACTCGACTTGGTGGTGGTCAAAGAAAGCGTTCCTAGATTCATCATTCCCTAAACAGAGACACACTAATAAAAATCAAAACTTTAGCAAAACCCAAACCACAATCACATGAATTTACCTACTTACTTAAAGTAAGCACAGGATCCAAGAATCAAAAGTGATAATCAAGAGAACATTTACACGCAAAGACAGTGGAGTAAAACGAAAATCACGGAAAGAAAGTGATCACCTTTGCTTGTTCAGACCGTGAATCTAGAGACGAGTGGTGAGAGTGTTGTCTTTGGAGAGTGAAGACGAGATTACTGTTTACTATATATGGCAACTAATGATTCTCTCAACGTCGTATATACATCATCAAAAATGGCCTTTTCAAGAAGATATTTTTAGTTTTGTTCAATCGCTCTGCACCGTCCATTTTTTTTAATAGTAACAAGAGGCGAGACGAAGTTGAGTTAGGTGACAAGATGATAAATCGCACGAGAGACACATTCGTGTCCAGCCATTTACATTTTATTTATTTATTTATTTATTGCCAAGTTATGAAAAAATGTTTGAATTATCAAAACCCAATAACATTGACATAAAAGCAGGTTTTACACAAATGAAGAGAAATCTACAGTAACATTCACGCTTGGTCTCCATTATTTATGTTGATAAGAGAGTAAGAGGAGAGATGAGAGTGACAAAATCACAACCATAGAAGTAGTGAGACCAAAGTTTTTAACTTTGGCTCACGTTTAGTAATCAAAAGGCCAGCCACCGTAACCCATATGTGACTGTTGTTGCTGATGCTGGTGATGATAGTTATGGTTCTCATCAGTTGTGTCAGAGTTTCTCGTGCCTCCACGGTTTTGAGTGTTGCTGTTTGAGCTTGATCCAGACGAACGAAATGGCCACAAGGAAGAGAAAGGATTCCTCCTTTCATTGCTACTCTCACGACTGTTACTACTACTACTACTACTTCTGTGGTTTCTGGTTGTGGTACTTCTGTTTTCACTGCTCGAAGCTCCTCTAGCTAATGAAGGTAGCTCTTGGCGACAGACAGGGCATGAGTTGTGCTGAACCAGCCACGGGACGATACAGTCAGAATGATAGATGTGGTTACATGGCATCTGTTTCGCCTCTGCTCCCAACTCGAACTCGTCTTTGCACACAGGACAGTTTGAGTCCGAGGATCTAAGATGTCTCTGCGCGATCTTGATGGTTGGCAATGCATCTATTGAAGATCTCGGAGCAGGTGGTGGGCCACGTCGAGTAGCACCCGTCGAAAGCTGCTCAAACAACTCTTCAAGACCAGGGCCGAAGAAATAGTCGCCAGTGTTGTTACCACGTGTGATGCCAATGCCATGTGAGCCACCGTTGAAGAGAGCTTCGAGTGGATTGTCTCCAGAGAGTCTATAAGGGACCTGACCACCAAAGATCAACAAAGGAGCAAGACCTGGAAAGCTTTCAGGACGAGAAGTGACGGCTCTTCCTCTGATATCTCGGTTCCTCATGAAGGCGGAGAAAGCATCCATGAGGTCAAAAGTGGGATCACGTTGTACAACATCCCTGTGAGATCTAAACATATCAAATGGGGTGGCTTGAGGCATGTCAAGCTCCTCAACAAATCCTCCTCCACAATAAGAACATAGAGGGTCTCGGCCATGAAGCCGGACAGCACGTTGGCATCTGTGACACCAGTGAGTATTTCGACCGCTTGACATCCTCAGCTTTCTCAAATAAGACCACAAAAACAATGAAATCTTTTGGTTGAATCCCTAAGAAGAAGCTTCAGCTCACTTGATTGTAAGCCTGCAAAAGTGAGTACAAGTTGGTAATCACGTATCTACATATTGCCAGGTAGAGAATCCAAAGACTCTGGCGAAAAATTCCAACCTTTGAATTTACCTTAACATTCTGAACATTACAAGACTCAATTATAGGTCTTACTTTCACTAAACAGACAGCCACATGATCAAGAAGACCAAAAAAAATCAGGAAATGAAATCGTAGTGTTGGCCTCAAAACTATATCATTCCCATGTTTCAATATTTCATACTCTCTGCAAAATCTAGACCAAAAACTTACAATTTATGAGAATGGTCAGGCACTTACAGAGTATATCACTCTCAATCAGTTAAAAGATAATCAAATTATGATGGGAAAACAGAGAATATCACTCAATTAAGAAAGGTCTAGCTGCTAAATTAACACACAAAGACTGAACACAAAGTGTTAAGCTTTAACGGTAATTGAAACCTAGTGTTGAGTTATGAATATGAAGTCGGAAAATTATATGATCCAATTACTTTTTCTAGCTTAACAATCTAAGAGGCGTAACAGGGGAATTTCAATCCAGAGAATGAGAAAATAGTTTTAGTAACACAAAGTTTGCAATCAGAAGAAGAAGAATACCTCTTCAGGTAGAATTATGGATCGAGAGGGGGAGAATCTGAAACCCTAGCGAGAGGATTTGGGGGAGAAGACGTAGAGGAACCACTCTAGAATCATCTCTCTCTTTTTTTTCTTACACTGTAATCAACAACACTAACACCAACTCCCAATTTGCCACGTGTTTATTACCCACTAACTAAACGTCACATATGGATGTAATAACTGTAATAAAACAACTTCTTTATTTTATGCATTGTCAATTGGGCCTTTTAAAGTTGGGCCGAAAGAACTGTAATAAATGTGAAAACAGACCATATTTGTTCTCTGAGAATTGTTCTCGTTTCATGATATGTAATGGGCAAACACTTGAGAATACAATTCATTCATTGACAAAAATAATTTACCTACTTAAACAATGAGCTTGTTTTTCTTTCATTAATTATGATTATCAGCCTAGATTACACGTTTTTTTTCATAATTGTTAAACCAAAGTTTCATATCTCTAATATGGCCAAAGTTAAATATAGTTTTTTTGGGTCAAAAGTTAAATATAGTTTTTCTTATACTACTATATTAAGCAAAAGAAATCACGTGATGATCATCAGCCTAGATTACACGTTTTTATTCATAATTGTCAAACCAATGTTTCATATCTCTAGTATGGCCAAAGTTAAATATAGGTTTTTTTGGTCAAAAGTTAAATATAGTTTTTCTTACTACTATTAAGCAAAAGAAATCACGTGAAGGAATTCTCTTATCAACCATGCACAAATGTCAAAGACTGTGAATTTAACCAAGTCCGTGATTTTTATCTTCTTGGATTCCCTTCGTTTATAGATACTTAGCTTGTATATACATTTCGATCTTCGAATGTTTTTTTTCCACCCTTGAAGAAAACGACTTGTTTCTCAACTTTATGTGTCGACAAAATTGACAGGCCTTGATACTTCTAGCCTATATATAATGATAGCTCTTGATGCATGGGGTATAAGAACATCTGATTTAAACTTATATGCATTTTCTTAATTTTTTACAGTCAAAATATCAAGGTCCTTTCCCTAAAATTAGCTAATAGCTTTTTGTACAAAAAAAAGGGTAAAAGAGAAGCATTACTATATTAAATGAGAATTTGATTGGGGAACAGAAAATGAAGAGGCCAGTGTAACGATTTGTAAAATGGCTTAACTAGAGATGAAAAGGAAAAAAAAAAAACACAGCTCATGTTGTTCTGTTTGTTTCTGGATTGGACTGATTCATAAACGTTACTCGGTTATATTTATTTCACTTATTAAGTTTTTATTATATGGAGCTTAAATTATAGAATAAAACAAAACAGGTAATGATTATAAGCGACAACGGTTAATAAAACTGTATCGGACTCGGACAGCGACTTTAGGTGGAGATGGAGAAGTAGAAGTCCTCTTCACGTTCACCTCTGATTGATAGTTTCTCTCGTTGGTGAAAATATCAAAAGCATATAATGTCTTTTGACCTTTTAAACTAAACCGTTGCCTTTTCAAGACAAAGATTCCACTCAAATGTGTTATCCATATGACATCTTCCATGTGCCTTGTTACTTCCGATTTTTCTTGTGATGCAAGGTAATGACCAAGTTAAACGATCTTAAGTGAGTTTATTACCAAGAATAATAACTCATGAAGTTACATAAAAATGTATTTTATAAATTTGATTTGGCCTTACACAACTCATGTGTTCTATCTTTATAGTACTCTAAACGAAAACATTCTGAAACGTGCATGTGGTTGGCTTTTGTTCGGTCCAGTTCCACTGCACTTAACGAATATGTCTCGTCGGTACTTTAACTTTACAGCTATATTTAGTTAATCAATGTTGAACCAAAAGAAGAGAAAGCTAGCACTTCAAATTTGAATTACGGTTGTCATAAACAAGTAAACAACTCATTTTTTTTTCTAAGTAGCTTTCAATCTTCAAAATATAACCGTTCGAGTCAACTGTTCGGCCCATCATCTTTATCACATGCTTGGACAAATACATTGATGTTTATTATAAAGATTTGAAAGCAAGTTTGGTAAGTTGCAACTATCCATTTAATCAACATAAAGGCTTCTTTTTCATTTAATTAATAATTTAAAGTCTCTTTTTCTGAACCTACCAAGTTAGATTCCATGGATAAGAAATGTAGGATTGGTAGTACAGAGTTGCATGTTCTATAAATCTATTCATTTACCAATAATTGTGCTTCTTTCAATCCAAAAACTTATTCCACATCTTTGGTCACTAAAGCAACAACTATTCTAGCATTTCATCTTTTGTCTATGTTTACCAACCATACTCAAATAATATATATATATTTCTAATTTTTTTTCTTCTGTAAAGTAGATTTCATGTAAAAAAAGAACAATGACTTCGAAGTGGCTTATTTCTTCTTGACTATTTAGTCTTTAGATTATTTCGTATGTAATAATATGACCATATTATAAGAGAACAGGAATCCAAAACTAGATAATCAAAAACCTGTAAATCATTTCATAAGTGTATCAATATTTTCAAAATAGTGAATTAAAGACTAAACATTTAAATATCACAAAATTAAGTGGGTGACTTTTGTTATAACGGCTATCTAATTTGGTGGCTATTAAACTATACAATATATTATATTAAGATACAAGTTTTATCAGCAACAAGAAATGTGGCATGTAATGGAACCCCACAAGAGATTAAGAATCAATACTGTATTATTTTATGTCAGATTGAGATAATTAGATTATGTCACGGACAAGTAATATATAAATTCTTTATTTCTTTGCTTTGAGCTTTGAATAAAATAATAAACAGAAGGAAAATAGTAATAAATGGCTCGTTAAAGAGCCATAATTAGCTCCATTAAACAGAGGAGGTCCATTTTCTCCCAGGAGGAGGAGAGTGGAACCCACAACAGCGATGCACACACAGAGACCCGACGGCGCGTGAGTCTCAGAACAGAGAGAGAGTGTGTGTGTTATAAAAAGAAACGTTTTCTTCTTTTGTGTACTCTTTAACGATGATGGCGTGAAAGTAAGAGAAAAGAGAAGAAATGATGATCAGTCAAGCGAGCTGTTTTTGGGAAGAGAGACTCAAAAATCAGAACAAGACCAAAGGTGTTTTTGTCTTCTTTCTTCTCTCTGTTTTCTTGATCATGTTCTTGCATTTTTCTTGAAAAGTCTTTGTTTCTGGGATTGGTTTAAAGAACGGTAAGAAGTTGATCTATATATCATTGTTGTGTAGATCATAACCGATTTTTCATCCTTATGAATCTTCTTGTATCATCTTAAATTGGTGATTCTTGGTTGCATGAATTAGAAACTTAAAGTATAATCTAATATGTTTATAAATTTGCAAAATATTTCAAGTTTTAGTATCAAAATTATTCTTTATTATCATTTTCTTTTTTTTTTCTAGTGTCAGGGTTCATGCCTCTTTTATATTCGTTGATTATTATGTGAAGACATGTTAGTTTTAATTTTTTTAATTTCTTTTTGGAAAGCAGATAAGATTCCGACAATGACTAAAGTATGTCCTGAAATGCAAGAAAAGAGAGTGTGTGAAGAAGCAGTAGTGGTAGTTGAAGCAATCTCAGCTGATGTAAGCTTTGCTTCTAACCAGTTTCCATCATACAAGTTAGGACCTGAAGATCAGATTCTTGATGAGCCTAAAGAAAATGAAAAACATCCATCTGTTAAAGATGTAGTCGATAAAGAAACTGAAGATTTGTCAGATCAGCACAAACGTCTTTCAGTTCGTGACCTTGCTTGCAAATTCGACAAGAATCTAGCTGCAGCTGCTAAACTAGTTGACGAGGTTCCGTCCTTTAACAATTCTTCTATTCTTTCTTTGCCAGGTGTCTCCTTTTAAATGAGTACCTAATGCGTATGGAATATTTAGGCAAAGTTGAATGAGGTGACTTCATTGGAAGGACATGTTATGCTAAAGAAACTTAGAGATGCTTTAGAATCCATGAGAGGTCGTATGGATGGGCGTAACAAGGAAGCCGTTGAAAAAGCTATCTCTATGGTTAGCTTTTCTTTACTTATGAATGTTTTTTAAAACACTTGCTTCCATATGTTAGAAAACTTTTTGTGTTTTTTTTCTTGTAGGTTGAGGCTTTAGCAGTAAAGTTAACCCATCATGAAGGTGGGCTCATTCAAGAAAAGACTGAAGTGAAGAAGCTAGCAAGCTTCCTCAAGCAGGTCTGTCCTCATGTGTAGACTATTTTATCTTCTTTAGGCATGGTTACTTTCTCTTGAAAATCATACTAAAGGTTGATTCATCATGTTCTTAGGCTTCAGAAGATGCAAAGAAGTTAGTGAACCAGGAACGGTCCTTTGCTTGTGCTGAAATAGATAGTGCAAGGACTCTTGTGATGAGACTTGGAGGAGCATTTGAAGAACAGGAGCTTTGTTCTAAAGCTTCTCAAGCTCAGGGACCGGTATATATGCATCAATTTGAGATCAATCTTCCTTTTGACATCAGGACTGGTAATATGAATCAAAATGATGTTTCATGTTTCATTTGAGCAGAATGTTGAGAAATTGGTTGAGGAAGTTCAGGAGGCTAGAAGAATCAAACGGATGCATCAACCAACCAAGGTCCAACTCCATTTCTGTGCTTCAAATAAATATCAATTGTAGACCAAATGGTTACTTCATGGTTTTGATGAGTTACAATTAAAATGTTGTAAACTGAATACTTTATAATTTAGGTGATGGGCATGCAACATGAACTTCATGATTTAAAGAGTCAAATTCAAGAGAAGTCTGCATATTCAATTAAGCTTCAAAGAGAGGTATACATTTATTATGTCTTGCCATCTTTCAACATATTGATATAAATAGTTTTGCTCAACAAAACCATTGTTCTCTCTCTCTCTTAGATAGCAATAATCAAGAGAGCTGAAGGGTCCAAATCATGTCCTTATGTTCTAGATGGTGCACAAACTCTTGGCTCTTGCCTAAGGATACGTGCCTCCTCAGATAGTAATGCTTCAGATACTTCCAAATGTTCATTCCAGTGGTACCGTGCAGCATCTGAGTCTAGCCGAAGAGAAGCTATATCTGGTATTTACCATTCTCTCTTTTCCCTTCCATTATACATAAAAGATTCATTCACATATTGAGCAGTTTTGTATTTTACATCTCAGGTGCCAACCAATCAGTATATGCTCCAGAACCATATGATGTNGCTTCAGATACTTCCAAATGTTCATTCCAGTGGTACCGTGCAGCATCTGAGTCTAGCCGAAGAGAAGCTATATCTGGTATTTACCATTCTCTCTTTTCCCTTCCATTATACATAAAAGATTCATTCACATATTGAGCAGTTTTGTATTTTACATCTCAGGTGCCAACCAATCAGTATATGCTCCAGAACCATATGATGTCGGCAGAGTAATACAAGCAGATATTCTTTGTAACGGTCAGAAGTTCACTGTTACAACAGACGGTCCAATTAATACTGGTTGGTGTTACAAGAATTAACTACTTTATAATTTTAAGTACCTTACAAAATGACTAATTTGATCATGATTTCGACAGCTTCTGGCTTGCAATCACGCGTTGAATCACTCCTGCGAAAATCAAACAGTGAATTCACTGTAATGGTTACAAGTTCCTTTTACTTCATAGAAGCATTAAACAGTATATATTGAGTTCTTGCTCTAATCTGACTTGACATTTTTTTTTACTTCTTCTCAGGTGGTTATATCACAGATGAATGGGCAAGATCATGTATCACGATCTCATGTATTTACTGTAGGAAAGGCGAGGGTAAAGCTATCTAGAGGATGGATCACAAAGGCTAGAGAAATATATTCAAACTCCATGCAGGTAATATAGAGCTCTTTTTTTTTTGGTTTTGTTGGAGATTCTTTTCTTATAAGTTTAAATGGTTTGGTAACGTTTGTGTCAGTTATGTGGAGTGAGAGGCAATGCTAATGCTCCTGCAAAAGCATTGTTCTGGCAACCAAGAAAGGGTTTAAGTTTCTTACTAACTTTTGAGACAGAACAAGAACGTAATGCAGCTATTGTTCTCTCCCGGAAATACGCATACGATTGCAATGTGAGTAACACTAACCTGAAAATAAAATTCCAATAAATATGATTCGATTTTTTCTTGTTAAAAGTTATGTTGTGAGCAAACCATTTTTGAATCCTGTAGGTTACTCTGGTTGGGCCAGACGATTGAGCTAATAATGAAAGGAGTAACAATTCTTTCTATCAAGTCTCCTGAAAGCTTTTTTTTCTAAGCTTGGCGATTTGGACTGTTATGTGTTTGTATTTGGTTAAAATGGCAACTTTTAGTTTGGGTTTCTCTACTGCATAGTTTGTGTGTTACTGCATAGTTTTAGGCAGGGATCACATTTTGTGTGTTTTGGCATGATCACAAGTGTGTGGTGGTTGGCATTTTCTTATTTGATTTGATTGGTTTGTTTGTGTGTTTTGAGTGTTTTTTTTCTTGGTCCAGCTTTGCTACTTAGAGTTTTGTAGTGTGAAGGTTTTTTTGTATGTAATCACAGAACAGAGTTTCGTTCATTCATGATCAATGTAATAAAAATGAAAAAACAAATTGTAAAATTTATGTATTAACTGGTCATATTTATAAATATATTTACTTTAAATGTGTGCTAACCATAATTTACAATATAAAAATGAATATATAACACCAACATATCATAATACAAGATAATTTCAAATAAAAATCAAGAAGAGTGTTTGAAAATCTTCGGAAAAATATATTTTTGGAGAGAGCAAAACTCTCCTATTATTATATAGATTATTAAAAAATGACCTTATAATTTAAGATAAATTTAACTATTAAATTATTAAAGAATGATATTAAATATATTAATTGTCAAAAGATTAGGTAGATATTTTATTGATGGAGATTAAAATTTTTAAATAAATTTCTTAGATTAGATAATAATAATAAAACTTGAATTATAATGATAAAAATAGATCCCAACTTACTTATGTATATGACTTAATGTTATTATAGAATATATTTTTTTCAACATATTGAATATTATACGTATACATTGGAAATCCATCTTTATTTTAGAGTTTATCTATTTTATATGTACATAAAAATTAAAGAAGATAATCTTACTTCTTTTGTATCCGCAAGACTTCGTTCATTGGTCCAATGAAAAGGGAAATGTTCTTGAGTTGCACTATATCAATATATTAATTCTACACTAAAGTTTTAGAGCATCATCAACCCTAATTAATTTTTCTTTTTTTGTCAGATTTTTTTTTTTAAAACGAATTATCGCAGACAGTTACTTGTTTGTGGGATTCGCGAACAGTGCAAATGCAAGCAACTAACTGTTTTAAGAAGAGGTACTTAAAATTTTTTATAGGATCCACTGACAAAAATCATTAAACACCTCCTTTAAACAATCCATTGATAATGTTCTTATATAGAACTTTCGAGCAATTGAAGTGATTGCTTTCGATTGCATATTGTGAGAAAATGGCTCTTTAAAAATTTATACCTAAAATGGAAAAATCACTTTGGAGAGAAACAATCCATATTTAGAAACAAAAGTATTTGGTAAAGGAGGTTGAGAACCCAATACAGTCACTTTGGTCAATGCGCACCAATAGTAAAAGAAAGATTAAAAAAAACACCTCAGCTTCCGAGAGAGGAGTTTCACTTGATTCTGTTTGAGTTTAAAATGAAAAGTAATCTCGTAACCTTTGAAGTATTAAAAAGGCAAGTTGTGGACGAACCTCGAGTACCATTTTTCTTGTATTTCATGCACTAGTTTTTCATGCGGTCGAGACTTTCCGGCACCGTTACATACATGAATATGAAGAACATCATATCGAAAAGGACATGTGTAATTTTATATTCATATGTATTTACGAACACTTAAATTTTACCTTTTTTTGAAAAACTACTACACTTCTCCATATCTCAATGGAGGTTTATACTATGAGATATACATTCACAGATTCTCGATATACATGAAGCTTACAACGTGATGAGTTTCGGGAAATTAAAATGTATGTTTTTGGGTTACACGAAAAAAGATGAAACATTTTGTCCGCAACCACCGGCCGGACTCAACTAAAATGATTTAATTATAAACCCTAATTCATATATATATATTGTTAGATATTCCATTCCTTCGACCAAATGACGCTATGTTGATGCCTTTTCTCTTAAAGATATTGGTTAGTTGGATATCACATGAGGCTGAATTATCCATATACAGCCAGTGGCTGCGTTTCCATATTTGTATTATTGCAGACAATACATGATCCACCCCAATACCTTTGAAGGCAATACTAATTATTAAATAACAACTCGCGATCTTGCACGAGGTCTATATACTATTTCTATGCGAATTTTGATGATTTACATACACATCCAAACGACATCAAATGTATATTCTGTTCTTAACTATAAATATTCATGATGAATTCATGATACTGACTTACTAATTATATATATTTGTTTAATTTTTTCATAAACGCTCTATAAAAACTAGTTCAGAATAGTTTGCCCAAAAAAAAAACTAGTTCAGAATATGCTTTCTTTAAAATTTAGATTTAATCCGACTAGGTATGTGAGGTTGTGAGCCAATTATAAACCAAAAATGTCGTAAGCCAATTCAAAACAACTACCACATGTACATTAACAACAACTTTATTGACAGGAGTGGCTGGCTTGACCCTTAGGCTTTTTGTTCACACAACATATTCATCTAAACTAAAGTTCTACTCCTTTTTTTTTGATTCACACCAAAGTTCTACTCTAATTAGTCAAAGTTGCTAATTAACTGGTCAAGAACATAATGTTATTTACTTTGTACTATAGTACTCTGATTTGACTTTAGCTGGGAATCTTCGACATGCAATATTGTCTCAACAGATGTACGAAGCAAATTAGAAATACACAATTTCTACAATGTATAAAATAAAAAAAAGGTTGCAATCGAACTATTATAACCAAAAATAAATCAATTTAATGTAAAATTTAGATGTGTTCAAAAAAAAATGTAAAATTTAGTATCTTCTCGTCTGAATGTAAACATATTGGTTGTTTAACCAAAGTACGATGTGAACTCTTTTAAAAAAAGGACGATGTGAAGCTGTGAACCATTCATGCTCCATCACCAGTCATTGGGAACATAAAAATTACAAGTACAAAAGTTACTTAATTTACAAAACACAAATAAGGAAAGAACACAACCTCTCTCCCCACACGTACTGGTGTATATATAATAAAGAAAGAAAAGAAAACAACACCTTGGAAAAAAAAAAAAAAAAAAAAAAAAAAAAAAAA